CGTCCTGCTCCTCGTTCTCCTCCTCCTCTTCCTTCTCCTCCTCCATTCCTTTTTTCCTTATGAATAGCTCCTCCCTGTCGCGCCCCGAGGCCGGTCGAAAGGGCCGGCCGAGCGTTTCGCCCGAGACGTCCTTGCCTCTTATGGCCCTGAAGCTTCGCTTCTGGCAACAGATTCACAGATGGAGGGCGGGTCGGTTCCAATATGTAGCTCTCGCCTTAGCGCCGCGCGCGTTCTTTCTTTAACGTTTTTCAGGAACTTCAAGGATTGAGGGCGAGTCGTTTTCAACGTGTGATTCTTGCCTCAGCGCCGCGCGCATGTGTTTTAAACTTTGCAAGGGCTTCACGCATTGAGAGCGGGTGGTTTTCAAAATGTGGCTCTCTCCTTAGCGCCGCGCACATTCGTTCTGAACTTGCAAGAATTTCACGGATTCAGGGCGAGTGGTGTTCAAAACGTGGCTCTCGCCTTAGCGCCGCGCACATTATATTTTGACATTTGCCAGAGTTTCACAGATTGAGGGCAGACCTTTTCAAAGTGTGGCTTTCGCCTTACGGCAGCGCACATTCCTTTTCAACATCTGCAAGAGTTTCACGGATTCCCATGGTCAACGTGCCAGAAATGGTTTCGCCAGGACTCAGGATTGTGAGTACGCAACAGCTACGGTGATTCGCGGTGGAGTCCCAAGAATGGTGATCAGGCGCGATTCCAGATCGTCAAGACGCAACATTCATGGTGATTCGTGGAGTAGATTTGCGGCGTTGGAGTCACGATGATGGTGTTTTGACACGCTTCAGGGTCTTCAAACGGTTGTCTCCCAACGGGGCCATTCCCTCAGCGGACATGACCCTCGTAGGGGCCTATAAAGACGGAGCTTGGAGGGAGGGTTTATTCCAACATCGTTGATGAGTCTTGGGTTTCCACTGGTCCTGCTCCTTCTCCTTCTCCTCCTCCTCGTCCTCCTCCTCCTCCTTCATCCTCCTCCTTCTGCTCCTGCTCCTGCTCCTCCTGGTCATCCTGCTCCTGCTCCTCCTGCTCCTGCTCCTGCTCCTGCTCCTCATCCTGCTCCTTCTCCTCCTCCTCCTCCTCCTCCTCCTCCTCTTCCTCCTCCTCCTCCTCCTCCTCCTCCTCCTCCTCCTCCTCTTCGTCCAGCCAGTCCTCCTCGCCCACCTCCTACACATCTTCCCCCTCCTCTCGTGATCTCTGGCGGCGCTGCTGTAGCCTCGGGCCGTTGTCAGGCTGGAGTGCGCCGCGAGACCGATGCAACGCCCTCGATCCGCGTCGCCATCGTCATGGTCTGTCGCGTCGTCGCAGTCATGGTTTTCCTCCTCGTCGTCGCGGTCCTCCTCGTCGTCGGTTTCTCCCGCGGGCAAGCGGGCCATATTTCGGCCTAGCGACATTCTCCATGACGAGGCGGAGAGGGATGGAGAAAACAGAGGGAGTAGGGATGAGGGACGGACGGGAGGGGGAGGGAGCGAGGGGAGGCGGGGTGGGGAGGGAAGACGGTCTCGGAGGATGGGGGCGACATGGGGGGAGTGGAGGGAGGGAGAAGAGGGGGAGGAGAGGAGAAGAAGAAGAAAAATAATAATAATAAGAAGAAGAAAAAGAAGAAGAAGAAGAAGAAGAAGAAGAAGAAGAAGAAGGGGGAGGAGGAGGAGGATTGGAGGGGAGGGGAGGAGGAGAGGAGGAGGAGGAGGAGGAGGAGGAGGATGAAGGAGGAGGGGTGGAAGAGGGGGAGGAGGAGGAGAGGAGGAGGGAGGAGGGGAGGGAGGAGGGAGGAGGAGGAGGAGGAGGAGGACAACGCGTCAGCTGTCCGAGGCTGCTCATAGGAGGTGACCATCCGGCACGACGCGTGCCGGGCAACGCGGCGGGCCCGGCCGCGGCCGCGGGCCGTGCCGGCGCAGTGGCTGCCGCAGCGGAGGCGGACGAGGAGGCAGCTGTATACCCCGAGCGTTGCCGCCTTCGGCCGGTGCTTCCTCTGTGAAGGGGCCCCAGGACACACAACGAAATGCACACAAATAAAACGATCCCCCAGATTTTCCCATCTTTTCTGGGTGTCTGTCTCCCCCCCCCCCACTGCCCATATCTTCCCAGATTTTCTGGGGAATCGACGATGCATTGTGTCTGTGTGTGTGTGTGTTGTTTCCCCTCCTGCCTCTGGCCCTCGAGGCACGAGGGCGCCACGGGGCGGGGCCGCCTGGCGCCACCTCCGGCAGCTGCCGCGCGACCAGGCGCAGCTCGTCGCCGAGGGCAGGGCCGGGGCGGTCTGCGGCGCCCTCGGCCCGCGCCGGGGCGCAGAGCTGCCTGCGGCCTGGCACGAGGCAGCGGCCCGGCAGCTCCGGGAGCAGCCGCGAGGGCGCGGCGGCTCTGCGCGAGGCAGGGGTCGCCGGAGCCCGCGAGGCGCAATGATAGTCTGGGCCCCACGGGCCGAAGCACCTCTCCCCCTGCTGCTGCCTGCTGGCCCGCCTCTGTCCCGCCCCTCTTTGCTGCCAGGAGGAGGAGGAGGAGGAGGAGGAGGAGGAGGAGGAGGAGGAGGAGGAGGAGGAGGAGGAGGAGGAGGAGGGAAGGGGTGGAGGAGGGAGGATCGGGGGACAGCTCGGGAAAGGCAGAGAGCAGTCGGAGGGAGGAGGCAGGAGGGAGGAGGGGCGAGGATGGACGGAGAGGGAGAGAGCGGGAGAGCGAAAGCGAGAGCGGACTCGGCGGCGCGACGAGCAGGGAAGCGAGAGGGGGCAGGCCTTTGCAGACGGCGGCGGGGCTTCGGAGGAGGCCCGAGGAGCCTCTCGGAGGGCCGGCGGCCTGCTGCGTCTTCTGAGGAGGCCCACCGCCTCTGCCCTCCTCCTTGGGCGCGCCGCGGCGACGAGGATGAGTACAAGCACGAGGAGGAGGAGGAGGAGGAAGAAGACGAGGAGGGCGAGGGGGGGGGCAAGGAGAAGGACGAGGAGGGGGAGGAGGAGGACGAGGACGATGGGGGAGGGCGATGAGGATGAGGATGACGATGAGGGCGAGGAGGAGGAGGGTAGTGGAGGACGAGGAGGACGAGGAGGAGGATGACGACGGAGAGGACGACGAGGAGGAGAGCATGTTTTGATTCGCGGCGATAAGCCGGCGCTCTGAGGGAGGGGGAGCGGAAGGAGGCGTAATGTAACGTCCTCCCCCCCTACGCCGTGTCTCTGGCACTACGGCGCCTGTGCGCACCACAGCATGCACCACCATGCGCACCACAGCGCGCACCACCGTAGCCGCGTGCACCACAGCGCCTGTGTGCCCCGAAATGCCTGCGCGCACCACAGTGCTTTCATGCACCACAGCGCCTGCGCGCACCCACCACAGCAGCCGCGATCACCCCGAGGGAGGAGGAGGAGGAGGAGGAGGAGGAGGAGGAGGAGGAGGAGGAGGAAAGGAGGAGGAGGAGGAGGAGGGGGAGGAGGAAAGGAGGAGGAGCAGGAGGAGGAGGAGGAGGAGGAGGAGGAGGAGGAGGAGGAGGAGGAGGGCGTACCTCGCAGTTCCTGCGTGCACCACTGCGCGGGCGGACACCGAAGCGCTTGCGCTGATTCCACTTCTGCTGCAGAGTTTTGCGCTCTGGGTTTGGATCCAGGCGCCCCTTCGGCCCAAGGAGAAGGACGCCTACGACGGGTGAACACACGTGAGAAAACGACAAGATTTCTAACGACCAAACGACGACAATGATGACAAATGACGAAAACGCCAAATATTTCTAACGGCAAGATCAGGACGACTGCGACGACGAAGATTGCGAAGACTGCGACAGTCACGACAACATTCACAATCACGACCAAACGCCGACTGCAAAGACTATTACGACCAAGGCGAACACGAAGACGATTGTGACGACGATTACAACAGTCACAACAACAACCACCACGAGCATAAGACGACCACGACGACGATTATGACGACTACGCCCACACCGTCCCCCTCCACCCTACCTCCTCCTCTTCCTCCACATCCTCCTCCTCCTCCTGATACCACTGCTGCTGCTACTTTCGTTGCCACTGGATCTGCCACCAATGTCACTATTATGAATGTTGCTACCCTGCCAGCGCCAGAAGAGCGTGAACTCCGCACGCGTGCGCAAAAGCATGCCAGACCCTGCAAGTGCAACAATAGCCTTCGAACGCAACACCATGTCTGCCAGCACGGGCAACGAACCTGTGAAAACCACGCTGGCCCGTGAACGCCAATAGCCTGCGAGCCCCACAGTAGCCGTAGCCCGCAAGCACCGCAATAGCAAATAGCCCGCGAACGCCACAAATGCCTGCTGCGACCGCATTTTGCTGCGAGACTGTGCTGCACGCGAGCACTGCGGCAGCCAGATGCGCACCAAGAGGGGGTGGATGAAGGGGCCCTGGGACACACAAATAAATACACACAAATAAAAAGATTCCCCATACTTTCCCATATTTTCTAGGATTTTCTCTTCCCACGACTTCCCATATTTTCCCATATTTTCTGGGGAATCGACGATTAATTTGTGTCTGTGTGTTTCTTCCCCTCCTGAGTGGAGGAGGCGCCATGTCATGGGGGGCGGGAGGATGTGGAGAGAAGGACGGGGAGGGGCATAACGCGCGTTATGGCCCAGAGGAAGAACATCACTCTCGAGCACGAGGACGACGACGACGACGAGGGCGAGGAGGACGAGGAGGGCGAGGAGGGCGAGGAGGACGAGGAGGACGAGGAGGAGGAGGGCGAGGAGAGGGCGAGGAGGAGGAGGACGAGGAGGGCGAGGAGGGCGAGGAGAGGGCGAGGAGGAGGAGGAGGACGAGGAGGGCGAGGAGGGCGAGGAGAGGGCGAGGAGGAGGACGAGGAGGACGACGACGAGGACGAGGGGGGCGAGGGGGAGGGCGACGCCGACGGCGCCCTCGACGCCGACCGGAGCCGCCCGCCGAGCAGCCGCCGCCCGGCCCCGCCGCCCGAGCGCTGCGCGTCGAGCACCGGCGCGCCGTCGGGCCGCGCGTCCAGGCGCGGCCAGGCGAAGCCGCCGCGCGGCGGCGGGGGGCCGGTCCTGCCGGGCGGCGCCCTTTCGGCGAGGGCGGCGGGCGACGACGACGACGCCGCCAACGAAGACAACGACGACGACGACGACGAGGGAGGAGGGAGGACGACGGCAGCAACGACGACGACGACGACGAGGGAGGAGGGTCGACGACGACGACGACGACGACGACGACGACGACGACGAGGACGACGACGACGCGAGGGCAGCGATGGCCGGGGCGGCGAACGTGACGATCGGCGGAGGAGAAAAGGTAGAGATGCCGGCACCCTTCCCTCTCGGACGGGTGGTAGCGGGGGGTGACCTCAGCGGGGGGGGGAGAAGAGAGCCCTAATGGGGCCGTCCAGGGCCACTTTGGGGCTCCTGTGGGCTCCAACAGGCGCCCTGAAGGGCCCCTTTGGGGCCCTTTTCTTTCCCCCCCACCCCGTTTAGGTCACCGCCCACTACTGCCCGCCCGACCCTCTCGCTTGAGCGCAGCGCACACTCGTCGCGAAAGTTCCAGCATCTTCAAGGATGGAAGACAGGCCCTTTTCAAAATCTGGTTCCGCCTTGGCGCCGCGCGCATTCGCCGTAAACTAAACGGCAGCTTCAAGGTTGGAGGACAAGCCGTTTCAAAAATGCGGCTCTCGCCTCAGCGTCGCGCGCGTTCGAACTAAAAGTTTGCAGCATTTCCAAGATGGAGGGCTGTTCCTTTTTCAAAAATGTGGTTCCCGCGTGAGCGCCGCGCACACTCGCTTCCCAAACTTGCACAGATTTGGAATCTTTGCACGACTCAAGTCCTAAGAGTTGTGCTCTGGCACGGTTCAGGATTGTCAAAACGCAACAATCAAGCCTGCTCGCGGTGTTGAACTCCCAAAACAAGTGTCATGGCACGATTTACGACTGTCGGGACACAGACACCATGGGTCGCACACCGTGTGTTCCTAGGCATATACGGTGTGCAATTCATGTGGCGCAATACACGCTGTGCAGTTTATGTTGTACAACCTATGTTGTGCGCAATTCATGAGGTGCAATCGACGTGGTGCAATCAATGTTGTACTTCCTATGTGTTGCACTAGATGTGGCTCAATCTACGTGGTGCAATATATCCGGTGCAATTCACTTAAACTGTCTTGAAGCTGTCCTCTCCACTGCTCGTGCAAACATCCCACCCTCCCACCCGCAACTTGGTCGCAAGACTTCTTAAGACCGTGATGGTGGGTACCAAATGGCACTTGGCAACGACAGCGACGCCGACGACGACAGCGACAACGACGACGACGCCGACGACTACGACGACACCGACGTCTCCGGCGACTTCGACTTCGAAGACGACGACGACAACGACGACGGCGACGCCGACGACGACGACGACGACGCCGGCGCCGACGACGACGACGATGACGACGCCGACGGCGACGACGGCGACGACGACGAGGACGACGACGACGACGACGACTCCGACGACGACGCCAACGACGACGACGACGACTAAGACGACGACGACGAAGACGACGACGACGACGAGGGAGGAGGGAGGACGACGACGGCAACAACGACGACAACGACGAGGGAAGAGGGAGGACGGCGACGACGCGAACGACGAAAAAGGAAGGAGTACGGCGTCGCCGACGACGACACCGACGAGGGAGGAGTGAAGACGACGACGACGACGGCGACGAAATAGGACGGACGACGACGAGACGCCGACGACGGACGACGACGAGGGGGGAGGAAGGATGACCACGGCGACAACGACGACGGAAACGACGACGACGCCAAAGAGGACGACGACGACGAGGAAAGACAGAGGACGACGACGACAACGACGACGAAGGAGGAGGGGGGACGGCGACGACGACCACGACGACGCAAGAGCGCGCGCGCGCACGCTTTTGTTGAACATCCGCGTTGCGAAACCCAGTGTTTTTGTATGTGCTTTTGGCACTCGATGCTAAAACCCTTCCGAAACCGAAGGATGTTGGAGGATTTAGGCATGCGCGCGCGACGACGCGCGCGAATGCACTTCGTCCCATTTGTTGCAAAATATTTTCCCGACGGCACGCGCGCAAGGGCGTTCGAACGATTTCGACATGCGCGCGCGAAGCCCGTTTTGTAGCATTTGTGTTGGGAAATCTTGGAACACGCGTGGGTGTCTTAAGATTTCGCAAGAGCGCGCGTGTACACTTTTCTAGGATATCAATGTTGCGAAACCCTTTGTTGTTGTGTGCTTTTTGGAAACTAGATTTCGAAACCCTTCCGAACCCGAATGTTTTTGAAGGTTGTCGCATGCGCGCGCGACGACGCGCGCGTGTGCACTTCGTTCCATTTGTCGCAAAGGATTCCTGGAAACTTCTGATCTTTGATAAACGGGTGCGCGCGCATAGCATGTTTTGCGGAGGGTGGCGGGGGGCGATACCGCCCCCTGGGATAGTGTGAATTCATATCGAGGATGGACGATGGGGTAGAATCGTATGTGCTTTGCATCGTTTCCAGGAGGATCTTTTAACCCTGGGGGGGGGGGGAGGGTGGTTGAACCTTTATTATATTTATGATAATATATTATATTATTATTATATATATTTATTTATTTATATTATATTATTTATATTATATTATTTTATTATATGATATTATACTATATTTTATATTTATATTATATTATATTATATTATGTTATAGTATATTATATTATATTATATTATATTATATTATATTATATTATATTATATTATTATATTATATCATAGCATATCATATTATATTATATATGCATATACATGTAAATATACTGATGCAGCCAATGTTGTGCAATTAATTAATGTACTCTCGCAATGAATTGTCGACTCCACTGCTCGCGCAATCCATCACCCACACACCCGCAATTTGGTTTGTAGAACATAATCGGCGGCGATTGCGATGAGTGCGTGGCGTTGGATGGTGCATCTCTGCAACTGCGCTAGCCCGCGCATGCTCGCGCGCGCAGCGGACAGCAAGTTCGGCGCGACCGACGCGGCAGCGGTGGCGCTGACCGCTCGGCACCTCCCACCGAGCACTGCAATGCGAGCCGGCGACTTGGGCGGGCGCGGTTTCATGGCAACGTCGACAACGCTGACATGAGGATGCTGGTAGAGAAGCGGACGACGATGATGACAACGAGAACGGCAACGCCAATATCGGCGCCGATGCTGAGCATGTCGGAGACGATGACGGCGTCTTCGCGTCGGCGATGAAGGCGCCGGAAGGAGTTCGATATGCGCGCGCGGCTGGCGCGCGCGAGTGGCCCGCGTGATATTTTTCGACACGGACCGTGCCTCCGCAGCACGTGCGCAAGGGTGTTCGAATGAGTTCGACATGCGGCGCGAGAGGCCCGCTTGGCAGAATGTAATGGAATGTTGGAAGACGAATGCCCTCCGTAAGAACTCATATAAGCGCGAGCGCAATTGTGTACTTTTTTGTTTGAAAACTGGCGTTCCAAACCCATGTGTTTTCAATTTGATTTCGGGACTCTCGAATTTGCAACCCTTGCGGATCTGAAAAAGTGTTTGAAGGATTGCGGCATGCGCGCGACGACGCGCGCGCGTGCACTTCGTCACATGGCTTTCAAAAAAAGGTTTTTGCGACAGCACACGGACAGAGGCGTTCGAACGATCTCGACATGCGCGCGCGGAGAAGCCTGTTTCGAAACATTTAATTAGCAAATTGAACAACCTATTGTTGTCGGAAGAAATCGCAAGAACGCAGGCGCAATCATTTTTGGACAATTCGTGTTGCGCAACCATCTGTGGTTTTATGTTTTCGGGACGCTCGAATTTGATTTCTTTGCGAAACCAACGGTTGTGTTGATGGATTGTGGCATGCACGCGCGACGACGCGCGCGTGAGCACGTAATCTCATGTTACGCAAAGAAATCTGGGAAACAATATATATATATATATATATATATATTCATACATACATATACGTGTATATATATGTATAATTGAATAGATGTATATATATGTACGTACGCATATGAATATATATATGTATGTATGTATATATATATATATGTATAACGAACGCGCACGCGTAATATTTGTTGGCGAAAAATGACAATGGGGGCGATGCCGGCATGCCTTGGATGGTGGGATGGACGATGCGGCAAAACCATATTTAAATTGCAATACGAAAGCGGGAGTCGACAATTCCGGGGGGGGATGGGGGGGAGGTGGGGGGGGAGGGAAGGGGGGTGTACATTCTAAGATTATGTTAGAGAAGGGGATAGATGTTGTGCAAGCTACGTGGCGTCATCTACGTGGCGCAATTCACCCTGCCGAACTTGAAGCTTGAAGCTGTCGGTTCCACCGCTCGTGCATCCATCCCACCATCACACCCGCAACGTGGTTTGCAAAACCCATGCGACGGCGATTGCGATGAGTGCTTGGCGTTGGCTGGCGCACGTCTGCGACCGCGCTAGCCCGCGCATGCTCGCGCGCACAGGGGCCAGCTACTTCGGCGCGACCGACGCGGCCACGGTGGCGCTGACCGCTGGGCATTTCAAGCGGGCATTTCAGTGCGAGTCGGCGACGTGAGCCGGCGCGGTACCATGGCGACGCCGACAACGGTAGACAAGATGATGAAAGATGCGATGATGGTGACGATGGTGGCGATGACGACGGCAATGCCGATGACGGCGACGATGTTGATCACGCCCGCCGATAGCAATAACGATGTCATCGCGTCGGCGATGAAGGTTTTAGAAGGAGTTCGACATGCGCGCGCGGCCGACGCACGCGAGTGGCCCGAGTGGTATTATTTGACACGGGTCGCGCTACCCCAGCACGCGCGCAAGGGCATTCGGATGAGTTCGACATGCTGCGCGAGAGGCCCGTTTCGCAGAATTTGATGACAATTTTGGAAACCAGTGGTTTTCCTCAGAATTCGCAAGAGCGCGCGCGCAGCCTTTTTTTGTTTGAGAACTGATGCTGCAAAACCAAGTGTATTTTCTTAGGTTTCGGCACACTCTAT